AAGCGCAATCTGTCTTTTATAGTTTTTTAATAGCGGTGATCCATTTTGACAGACAATTTAAATTTTTTGAATATTTGTCCTTATAATTTAATAAAATAGATTTTCTTTTGACCTTGTATGTGTGTTCTCGATACGATTTCTTTCACGATCTCTAACAAGATCTTTCACGATCCTGTCGCTATACTTGACCACCGTTACTTATTATTTTAGTTTATATAATTGTTGATGTGCACAGATGTAGTAGTGCTAACATGTATCAAAGAAATCTGTCCATACCGACGATTGGTGACAGTTTGTTTATGTATTGAGATGCGAGCGTTTCCTTAATATAAACATTGCAGACCTTAGTTTGAGACTTTGCGGTAGAGACCATCAATACAAACGGTAAAAAACTGCTATAGTTTATATTCTAGACACAAAATCACATCTGGCACTTCACAAATCTAAAGCAAGGTAAAGCGATTTTATTTATATAGCTCCTTATTAAATATTTACAAGAAACATCGTAGGTATATGCAATATAATACATTGTATTATCTAAACGATACAGGAAGTTTTGTCAATTATATTATCTTGTTATGAAATAGTTGACCATTTCTTTATAGTTTTAACTAGCCCCCTAAATAAAAAAAATCTTAAATACAAAAAAAACTATAACAACAGATTGGTGATACTTGAAAACCCATCTCTAAACATAAAACATCTCTCATTACATCGATTGAATATTTATATATCTATCTAATTTAAAGTGATTCATGACAAGTTTGCCGTACTGAATATGTCAGAAGCGTCAGTCTGGAAAATATTTTATCACAAAAATTGTTAAAAGCCAAAGATGTACAAAAATGTATAGATTTATGTATTTAGTGATCAATTTCACACAAAGTGTGTTATATTGAACATCAATATCCGGCTGATATTTCCCGGAGAAAATTGCGTTCATTTTATTTTAAACGTATCACATGTAACAGGGTATGGCATTTATCAAAATATTTGGAATGGATAAAATTTGGTGCTGACGTACAGATTACTGGACTGACGATATCCGTAGAAACTAAAATACTACACACTAGCAGAAACATACAGAATATAAGAATGAGGAGATGTTTTATGATTGTCAACGAGACAACTATTGCCAGGGTTAAAATGAAGTGGCAGTAACAGTTACAGCACAACATAAGAACAAATTGTAAAAGGTAGCTGTAATTGGCTAAACACAAAAGATCGGTACGATGCACAAAATCAACTAACATGAAAGCTAGTTCAAAGCCAATTACAACTAATGAATAAACCATTTTCTCCAAGACTAAACTATCAATCGGTACGTATCCAACAGGATTAGTGTTAAGACGTCATAAACAGTCTGAGTAACACATGACCTCGCGCAATGGCAAAGTATAAGAAAACATTATCGACAGGATGTAGTTCTCATAACTTCCATGTATCATATATAGCAATATATATTTAGTTATGTTTTAATTTTTCAAAAACAAAATCAATGTAAGTACTGCCAAAAAACAATATTTAAAGCTTTAACTACTGTGTTAAATTGATAACCTTTAGAAATAAGTTTAGTCAATGGATCAATTAGTTCATATGGATCGTATCTAAATTTACGGGCTCTAAAAGCACAATTACCATACAGATTAGGATGTGATATCGCGTTTTTTAATAAAAATTCTACTCTCCTAACTTTCTAACCAATTTTTTGTATCTGTATAGGAAAGAATTTGGGAAATATTTTAATTTATTTGTGGTAACGAAATCCCTTACTTAATGATTTACCAGTTATACATAAATTACGTTCATTGAAATCTAAAACGCGACTACAGACACGGGCATAGCGAACAAGTTGTGAAGTATTCACACCGTAAGAAAAATGCACTTCGTACTGTTTTGAATTACCTTAATAAACTCTTTTAGAATTTATGCCTCCAAAAATTTATATATTTTGGTTCCAAAACGTTTGTCTCCAGTCCCGAGTCTAACCGAATAAGGTTTCTTGCGTGAGCTGAATATTGGAAATCAGTAAAAACGCCTTGTTTTGTAGGAAAAGTATAATACATTATGTATACACTTTATATTCAAAGGCAACATGTAGATAAAGAAGACAAAAAGTTCGGAAGCTACGCACGGGCATTTGTTGCAACATACTATAAAATTAATGAACAGAATAACAAATCAATTCATTTATTAATTTGCACGGCACACAAAGATTGCAAAAGGTTGCTGATTTTGTTTCCTATTCTGTCGAAGGAATCATTTCTTAGTTTGGGTAACAAAGATTCAAACACGTAAAAACGAGCATTCAAAAAAGACGTTTAGTTCGGTCTCCGGCCAACTGGCTGAATGCGAGGTATTATACGTGGAGGTATGGTAATCCGAAGCTTGTTTAATCAAATTTGCAGAACCTTAGTTACTTAATATATAGGTACTTTAGAAAGTAGTATATAGCTATAACATCTATATCGTTTGTTTAGATGTCTTGTGTCTTCATATTTTCGTCTTGTATTTGTCCGCTGGACTTAATCCGAGTCCTATTGTTCTATATCTAATTATATTAATGTGCATCCAAGTTTTATGATTGAGTAATTGCATATCAGGACAACATGCAGATGACATATGCTTAATAATTGACTCTTACATGTACGGTGCATAAATGTTTAAAAGATTCTTTTAGAGATTGTGAAAAATTACTTAACTCGGATTTGGAACCTTAAATTTCCAATAGAAAAGTGAAGGTAATATGGAATTCAAAAAGATCAAAGACAAGACACTGTCATATCTGCTTCCCATTAGTTGGAAACTAATTTCATTATTTGTTTGAGTTTCAGTCTGTTATATTAAAAACAAAAAATCCGAAAGAAGCCTAGTTCAGCATAATTATTTCCGAATATTACATGGTTCAATGTTTAATATAAATTTCTATACATGTAGTTGTTTCTCAATTCTACGGCTTCAACTTAGTTCTAAGAACCTCCACCCATGTTTTGATAATATTCTTAAGGCTAGACTTCCATCCATGATACAGGGATTTATGTTGAGTTTTTGAGATAAGTTTCTTAGTTACTATTAGTAACAAGAAAGGCTTTTCTAGGTAATTCGAGCGTGACGTCATTTTTACATTTCGGTGATTCACATTAATATTATATCTTATTTTCGTTAGGTTTTTTTTTTGTAATCTATCTTTTTTAATTGTTAATTGTAATACATGGTATTTGTAGCATAATAATCAATTAATTTGTTGCATATTTAGCATACCCATATATTCATGATTACTTAAGCAAGACATTTCTATGTGTCAACACTTGTGTATCTCTAGTTACATGAAATAACGGTTTTGCAATTTGTATAGATTAATATCTAAGTAGTCCTGATTTGATCTTGATTTACGTTTTCATTCACAAGTATTAAAGCAGAATGACACTTTGAATCTAGAGGCCCCTCATTGGGGTGTCCAAGTAATCACATAATCACAAAGGTTTTGCCAATATAATCACATAATCATTAAATTATTTTTTTAAACTAGATAATCAAATAATAAAAAAATACAGTTCTAGATAACCAAATAATCATGAAATATTTGGGATGGTAATCAAATAATCACTATAAAAACGACCAAGTAATCACATAATCAAAAACCCTATGAGGAGGCTCAATCTATGTTGCAAAGTATTTCTCTTCACGATTTATAGAGTCAACTCCAAAAATTTCCAAGCATAACCAAAACGCTATTTTTTCGACTTGGAAACACAATCATCACATAGAATTGTTAAGTCAACTTATATTTCTAACGCTGCCAATAGTAATATTATTTTTTTTCTAAATGTCTTGAATATGCATTAAATATTTGCCACTGGCCGTTATGTACACCATTAAATATTGTTTTTATTGGTACTAATATTGATTTTGTTATCAGTAAATTAAAAGCAAACTAAATATTATTGTTATATACATATACACATTCATGGATCTACAATCTGTCGATACCTGTATCTTGGCATTGCACAACGTCATGTTTTTCTCTGACTGTTTATGACGTCTTTACACTAAATTCATTGGATGTTGGATGTGTACGGATTGATAATTAAGTCTTAGATGCATGATTTGTTTTATTAGTTGTTAGTGGCTTTGAACTAGCTGCCAGTAACTGCGAGTACTCTCAGATCTGTACTTGGTACATTCTGTATGTATGTTCCTGTCCCAAGTCAGGAGCCTGTAATTCAGTGGTTGTCGTTTGTTTATGTGTTACATATTTGTTTTTCGTTCATTTTCTGTACATAAATTAGGCCGTTAGTTTTCTCGTTTGAATTGTTTTACATTGTCATTTTGGGGCCTTTTATAGCTGACTGTGCGGTATGGGCTTTGCTCATTGTTGAAGGCCGTACGGTGACCTATAGTTGTTAATTTCTGTGTCATTTGGTCTCTTTTGTAGAGTTGTCTCATTGGCAATCATACCACATCTTCTTTTTTATATTTCGTGTCTTTTTGTTGTTTGGATATACAAGTACCCGGCCACGTCCACTTGTATTTGTAGTATTTGTATTTTTATCCATCCGATGAGTTAAGCCTTTTTCAACTGATTTTTATAGTTCGTTCTTATGTTGTACTGTTACACCACTGTCCCAGGTTAGGGGAGGGTTGGGATCCCGCTAACATGTTTAACCCCGCCACATTCTGTATGTATGTGCCTGTCCCAAGTCAAGAGCCTGTAATTTTGGTCTCTTGTGGAGAGTTGTCTCATTGGCAATCATATCACATCTCCTTTTTTATATGTAAGCAGAAAATCAACCAACAATTCAATAAAACATATAATTATGTTATGTTAAGTAAGCAAGAGATCTCTAATATAGCAAATGTTACAGCTGTTAGTAGTATATAAACACGATGAAAGGGCAGATTAAAAGCAATTATCGAACATACATTGTCAGTCGATACTATATCTTCTTTCCCATCAAAAAGGAATATCGGAAGTATTTAAATGCAACCAATCGATTAGCTGAAAGCGTAAAATCAACATTCACTTACACTGTGAGAAGCTTAGACTTTACCAACCAATAAAATGTTAGCTGTATCTATATCTATCAACCAAAGAGCAGGTAAATTTCAGTTTATTGAAAAATATCGGGAAATTGCCGTTATTAGACTTGTTGTAAGATTTTTACAAATATTGGAAAGATGGTGATTTTTATGAGTGGCTGTTCAACAATTGATATTATTTATTTGTGAATATAGAAAAATATCAAATGGAAATATTTATGAATTTAAAGGGAAAGTAAAGTCGCAACTTATTAAAGAAAATCATGCATCATAATTTGCAAGAGGTAGAAGAAGGAAAACTAATGTATTTCGATAAAATGAAACGTGTCCCAAGCCCATTGATTGGGGATCATAATTGTAGTGTGAACAATGAAAAATCTATTAATCCGAGGCCAAGAGCACGATCCACTTCTATGAAGAAAACTAAAAATAAGACGTTTGAAAGTTATGAAATTGACGGAATTCGACCTAGAACAAGCAGCTTACCAACGAAAAATAATTATCGGAGGCCTTTAATAAAGAACTTGAGAACTAACTACGAAGACCAGGATCATGACTTGTATAGACTAAGAACTTTTGAAATGACATCGAAAGGCATTGTCAACCGAGGAGATTCCATCAAGTCACGCAGTACCAACAGTATTGTTTCATCCGAAGGGGACGGAAATACCTTATCAATTGGGTCAAGTTCCTGTTCACAAAACAGTTTAGCCAATAGTGAAGGTTCTTTACAAAGACCTAAGCCTTATAAAATTGTTATATTGGGTGCCTTAGGTGTTGGTAAATCTACAATTGTCCAGCAGTTTTTGACATCGGAGTATCGGTTTGATATCAGCATCGGTAAGTCATTCTTAAATATCTAATGTACAATATGATTTTAATTTCAGTTCTACGTAATCTTAGTTATTAGTTCTTGATGCAGAAGTCTGTAATTAAAGAAATATCTCTTTTGTGTTATAGTAGCTAACATCTTTCAATGTTAACGGAAATATATGAAGAGTATTGTTTAATTGCGATCAGTTTTCTTTTATAAGTATTTTTGTTATGCATCGATCATCAATAATAACCCTTTTACATTTTATGAAATGTGCTTCTTGACCAATAATAAAAGATGATATATTATATATTTAATATTTGGTCATCGGTTATTCTCCAATGGTATCACGTGTCAAATAGCTAAATACGCTGGTGCAGATATAACAATGCGAAAAACGATTTAAAGAAATTATCACTAGACAAAATATTTGAAAATTCAGTTTCATTTTACTCATGTAAATCACTAAATCCTCAGCCAGATTTTGCCTCTCATGTTTTTTCATGTGTTCCAGTTCTTCAACGTTCTGTTAAGGTTTATAAGTTATATGATCACCAACATAACTGAAACTAAAATATTTGTTCAAAAGCGCATCTGGTGTATAGAATGTTTTACATTGAAAAAAGTTTACTACGCATGTTTTAAGTCGTTGCTTTATATTTTGAAATTAACTATGTCTTTTTCACTAGCTAATGCGTTAAAAACTATTGCCCAGTTACTCCCAAAAACTTTTTATCTTTTTTTTTTTAAACTTTCATCTAAAAAGACAATTCTAGTAAATTATACTGAAATTATTGTATAAGTTTCAATATACTGGAAACTAAGAAAATACACTCAATCGAAATTTCCGCCTTTCATCCCGTCCGAACCCCTGTTTGATTCATTGTTAATTAGTTCTCGTTCTGGAATCCATTAACTATTTACTAAATGATGTTAAACAAACAGTTGTCAATCAACCAACAAAAACAAGTGCAACTGAATGCAACCAATGTCATAAATATATAGCAAAGATAATAAGCAAATTAACTTGCTCAGACGTTTATTTGCAATTCGAACAAAATTACCCTCGGAATAATGAACAAAAGTATAATTTGAGATTTCCCACTCAGTTCTTTGATTCATTACATTGAAGTTGATGCCATTGTAAGAACAATAAAAACTATTTATTAAACAGAACACCTAAATTGAGCAAAATTTGAACCTATCCTTTGCAACACTATTTGCCAAATGGATGTGTTGACTAGGATATACACAATTATAGACCAACTAAAACGTCGCATGGAGTAGTATTAAGGGTTTCCATACAAACGCCTCAATTAAGACTTTTTGTTCTTTTTCCAAGCTAACAATGGTTGAACCGTCATGGTTTACACTGAACATAGCAATTGTAATGGTTGTAAACAAAGTTAACCGTTGATGATTTTGGATGTTTTGTTCAGTTCAGATTTGTTTTTTTTTGCATTCAGACGTTCGATGTGTTTTGGCTTTTAAAATTGAGCGTACCCTATGAAAGTTATTCTACGAAAACTCATCGTTTACACATAAATTGGTAGCTTACGGTTTTGTTGAGAAACATAAAGCTTTTCAATAATTACTATCAACAATATCCTGCGAGGGACACTTAACACATGACTGAAGTCTCGTTTTTGTATCATATAGAGATTTAAAACAGTTTATTTGCAAAACATTTTATGGAAATGTTTTTGTATTTCCCAAATTGAAAATTACATGTAGAAAACAAAAAAGGCTAAATTATTTGTTTATTACAAAAAAAAATCACTTGAAAACTGAAAATAAAAGGTTTAGAAGAAAAGATTTGAAAAGCTTCTGAACGTTACTGTAAAGTGTTTTGAATTAGCAAATGCCTTTAAGTAGAACGAAAAGACCATACAAATGTGTAGGTCAAAATAAAAATAGGTCAGAGGTCACCTATAAATATTAACGACTACTTATATCTCAGAAAGTTTCAACTGGGTACAAGCAGCAGAAAACGTTAATGAACAGTTTTTTGTAAGATTTCAAAACAAGCATATTATTATTATTAAACACACTCTTAAAGCAAAATTAAACAAATGTTGATAAGTAGCATGCAGTGTTTGAAGGCACTAATCTCTTTGACATTTCGTTGACATAGTTTTTATTTTTGCACTGGAAACTTAAGAAAAACGAAGATTGAAGGATGAATACATACAGTTCAAAAGTCAATCGTTCAAACATATTTAAGACAAGACCAATGTCCATTGTATATGTAGGCATTTGGTAGGCATAAAGAATAGACCAGAAGTATCACCATGGACCCTAGACCTAGATATACTTTTGATCGACTCTTAAAGATGAGTCTTAAAAAAATGACTAAAAACTTATTATCGTTTAGAGTTATTTGCTGAAATGTTTTCTATCAGAGTTAAACTACCGTGGTTCATTTACAATTTTCACCCTTAAAGATCAATTATAGATCAATGTGAAATTTCCGAATAAACTGACTGAAAAAAATATTGACAACAGCTGTTTTTGTATTGTTATTTTATGATATTTGTTGTATTTTTTTTTAGAGTAACCTATTAATTTCGTCACGTATTCACTGCAAACACTAACAAATGTCTAATATTATTTGTTTCCTACTCATTCCGTTCGTTGATAACGTAACTATGCTTTTGACAGTTTTTATTTACTTCCCCCTTTTTGAATTTACCTTTATGTGTTGTACTTTTTTTTTCTCTCTTTTTACGTGGTTTTATTTCTCTATTAAGTTGCTGTTTATCTAGGATGAGTTTATTTATCTCACAGATCCTTTATCACATGTATCCTTACTAAAAAAAGCGAGAAAATTGTCGCTTTTTCCGTCTGTCCGTCTGTGTGTCGCTTTGTTTCCGGATGTTCACTTTAGTTTCATTTGCTTAATTTCAATGAAAGCCATATAAAAAAGGAAGAAGCCTATAGCTATTGCTTGAAGGGTCACTAGGTGGAAGTTAAAAGTAACTTTTACTAAAATCAAATTATTTGTTTTGGAAAATGGTTTCTGGATGGTAACTTGAGCCTACCTTGCCCGATTAGAATGAAACTTATACAAATTGAAAATATAGTCTGATAATTTCACAGTTAAAGTCACTGTTACTAAAATTAGTTACTTTCGATAAATTTGGTATCTTTGAAATGTAACATATATTTATAATGTTTAGTAATATTGCTGCCCATGTGCCCATACCTGGCGAGAAAGTCAGGGTCTTGGGGAATCTTTGCCTTTGTTTATAACGTATGCCCACAAAGGTTATTTCTGGATGTTGTGCTCTACAGAAAGTGTTGGTAAAAATATTTGTTTCTAGATACCAGACTTTTTATACTCCCTGGAGCATGCAGCCTTGCTTAATGTCAACTTTAGTATCCCGTTATGGATTGAAATGTTAATTTTAAAAATAAATTGACAGAAGAAATATTTTTAAATATCAAAATATCAGCAAAACAAGCAAAGTGTATGTGATTTATGATTATATTTTTTACATTTTTGGGTTGCTTGCTTGTGAGAGAACTGTGCTGTATCATTTGCAATCAACATGTTCGATGGTCACGTGGTAAATTGACAGAAGAAATATTTTTAAATATCAAAATATCAGCAAAACAAGCAAAGTGTATGTGATTTATGATTATATTTTTTACATTTTTGGGTTGCTTGCTTGTGAGAGAACTGTGCTGTATCATTTGCAATCAACATGTTCGATGGTCACGTGGTAAATGGCTTCCGTCGAGCGCAGAATGGCGTTGTTCCTGGGTAGGTCTGGCATTTAACAAAGACTTTAGAACTGGCAGTTTCCTTCTCTTCTATAAGAACATGACGTGACGGCTCGGAAATAGAAAACTATGTATGAGGGCAGACACTCCTGTATTAGGACATTAAAAATCCGATTAAGCGTGTCGGTCTAGTACAGAACATTGCACTCGTATTAGATATAGTTTTTACGGAATTACTAATAATCAAACTTATATGCTTCGAAATTCTTCTAACACTGGACTAACAAACATATTGGTACCGTTAATGTTAACTGTAAAAATAATATATGGTATGATTGCCAATGAGAAAACTCTCATCCAGTGAACAAATGACGTAGAAGATAGCACAAAAATGTCGGCATTCACACCAAAAGCTAACCAAACCTTCAAACAGAATTATTCGGAAAGGATATAGTTACGATACTGTTGTCAAGTCATTAAGGATTGCATATTTTGTTATTAATATTGATTCATTCATAGGGTCTTTGCAGTGGAAATAAACACATTTATTCTAAAACCAGTTGTTGGCATGATACGGGTTATGTTCTTCTCATATATTTTATGATGGTATGATACTAAACCCCTAACGGGAGGGATTGTACTTGATTTTCATATGATGAAGATATAATCTTTTAATCAGTTTAATTGAGGTCTGGAGCTGACAGGTCAGTAACTACTAGTAGTCCTTTGTTCATTTATGTATCATTGTCATTTTACTTGGTTTCTTTTGTTACCTATTCTGACATCGGACTCGGACTTCTTTTAAACTGAGTTTTACTGTGTGTATTACTATGTGTTTCTTTATTCTACATTGGCTAGAGGTATAGGGGGAGGGTTGAGATCTCACAAAACATGTTTAACCCCACCGAAGTTTTGCGCCTGTCCCAAGTCAGGAGCCTCTGGCCTTTGTTAGTCTTGTATGTTTTTTTAATTTTAGTTCATTTATATGTTTTGGAGTTTAGTGTGACGTCTATTTTCACTGAACTAGTACACAATTTTATTTGGGGGCCAGCTGAGGACCACCTCCGGGTGCGGGATTTTCTCGCTGCGTTGAAGACCCATTGGTGGCCTTCGGCTGTTGTCTGCTCTTTGGTTGGGTTGTTGTCTCTTTGACATATTCCCCATTTCCATTCTCAATTTTATTTCGTCCTGAATATGCTTGCAATATTTGTCACCAGACGATTAAATTCAATTCGTATCCCAAGGAATAAAAAAACTAAGAAAATAATGAATAAGAAAATACAGACTTTAAAATGTTGAC